ACTAGAAACAACCTAAATATCCATTAATAGATCAACTAAATTATGGTAGAGCTATACAATGGAATACCTTAAATGGTCAAGTAGATTGATATTTATTAAGTTTCTGAGAAAATAAGTCCCTCCTGAGCCCCCAAATAACAAGATCAGACTAGAGGTTTGCTTTTTATATTTGGATTATTTTTCTCTTCTCCATATTTTCTAATTCCATTACCTGTGTTAATAGGGAGCTGGTTGTTTATATTAGGGGCTTGCAACTAGAGTCCATGAACCTCTTCAAGTGTAAGCAAAATTTCATGTGTATGTGTATTTTACTGGGAAGAGAGTCAATGGTTTTATCGGAGTCTCAAAACATCCTCTAATCCCCAAATGGGTAAGAACCACTGGCAAATCTAGTTTAATGGGTCACGGTGTTGTCTAACTGTGCCTTAAAAAGCAGGTGTGATTGTACAGCCCATTCATTCACTAGTCAACAAATATTTACTTAGTACTTACTAAGTCTTACTTAAATGGCCAAATTACTATAAAACTTTGGAATACATTTCTTTACTTACTTTGGAGGTGTTTTAGTTTATTTATCTATTTATTTAATTTCAGAGAGAGGAAGGGAGAGGGAGAGAGAAATAGACACATCAGTGATGAGAGAGAATCATCGATCAGCTGCCTCCTGCATGCCCCCTACTGGGGATCGAGCCTGCAACCCAGGCATGTGACCTGACCATGAATCCAACTGCAATTTCCTGGTTCCTGGCTCGACCACTGAACCACACGGGCTGGGCACCTAGGAGGTATTTTAAACACCACCCTCCCACACATAAAACTTCAAAAAGCCCTCTAGCAACTAAGAGACAAAAAGCAAATTAAAGAGTTTCCAACAAAATTATGTTAACGTCTGAAAGAAGGTGTTTTTTGCAGTCTTTTGAATCTCACATACATTGAACTCCTTTAAGAAGATAACCTTCAGATTTACAGATTGGAAAAGACTTATCTTTGTGAGGATAGCCAAGTTCTCAAAATCGGATAAAGACAAGTAACACAAACAAGTAACTAGTTTTCCTGAAGACAGCGATAAATCATTTTATGTATAACTTTTAAAATATGTTGTATAATTAATGGATGCTATTATTATAAAATATATGATGCTAAATTTGAGGCCCCCAAATTTAAATGATTTATAAAATACCTCATGGTTTGGTGAAGATGTCTAGGATACATAAGAGAAGAAACTGGTCTAACCGGTCACAATAATGTCACAGTGATAAATCAGCAACTACAAATAAACTGAAACCAAAGGAAAACATAATTTTGGATTAAATGAGATCATCCAATTTTCAGGAGACAGGAGGCAAGAAGTTATAAGCAAAAAGAACCAAAAAATTAACAGGTTTATTAATGAAGGCATATTGGGCAATATGTTTATGGCTTTCTTTTTTTTATGGAATCCAACTGTTGGCCATTTTTGTTGTTGTTGTTTTTAATCCTCACCCGAGGACATTTTTCCATGGATTTTCAGAGAGAGTGGAAGGGAGGGGGAGAGACAGAAAGAGAAACATCAATGTGAGAGAGACACACAGATTTGTTGTCTCCCACACACACCCAACGAGGGCTGGAGGTCGAGCCTGCAACTGAGGTACATGCTCTGAACCAAAATCAAACCCACAACCCTTCGGTCTACAGGCTGATGCTCTATCCACTGAGGAAAACCAGCTAGGGCTATAATTTTATTTTCAATATGTGAAAATATTTATCTTCATGAATTTGAATTAACTACTTATGGATTTAGGTTTAAAAAGCATTAAAAGATACTACCTGGTTTCTTTAACACTTTAGTAGTCTCAAAACTAACTTAAAATAAAATTCTGTTACGGCAAATTTCATTACAATAAATTACAAGGCATAATCTAAGTTAAGGTAGATTTTTACTGAGATGGACATTTACATAAAATAAGTAGGTCTTCTGCTGGGCTCAAAAATTACATGTGTTGTTTTTTTTAAGATTGTAATTTTATTTGCTGCAAAGTAATAAAGACCTAAATAGCCGTGGCTCCAGAATTCTCCTAAAACATCAACTTATAGTTTATTTTCCTTTTTCTTCTTTAAACTCCTTAAATCTAGTTACAAATAAACTACTTAATGTAAATTTAATTAAGTCAGAACACGTCTTTTGTATTACTAATGACATATACCCAAGAGAAAGTATCTTTCGCTAGACATTTCCTTTACCAGATATTCTCAAATGAATACCATAATAAACATTTAGAGGTCATTAGGCATGACTAATGGAATTACAAGGAAAAGAAACCTAGCAACCTTTGTAGGTATCATCATGGAAGAGAAAGCAGTACAACAGCAAGTGCAGAGAATATATTGAAATAATACAATGCTCAGGGTTGTAAGAAGTTAAAATAAACTAAGCCTGTTTTTTTTTTCCAAAAGTCAAAACAACAACAAACACACACCTTCAACATGAAAAGAATAGTAGCTTAGCAGAGCACATACACAAGTATGGAAAACATTATAATTTCTTTATCATATTTAGAAAACAATATAATTTGTTATCAATTTATGAAGCATTCCACCAAGTATAGGAAATAACTCAGTGCTCAAGTTCAAATTATTTTAACTCTGAAAATGTTGAATACAATGGTAATGATTTTAATATAGCTCTTCAACAAAATACGTCATCTAACCATACTAAATAAGTATACCATGCCAAATAGTTAACACCAATGCAAATTATTCATTTTTCTGTTCCGAAAAAGGAAACATTAACTGAAAACAAAAACAGGTTGTTTATTCTAAGATAAATCAATACACAAATGTCATTTAAAAAATTACTTTCCCCCCAGCTTTACTGAGATATAATTGACATATAACATTGTGGAAGTTTAAAGTGTACGTGTACAATGATTTGATGTATTGCAAAATGGTTACCACAATAAGGTTAGTAAACACATCCACCACATAGTTACAATTTGTGCGTGTGTGCGTGTGTGTGCGTGTGTGTGTGTGTGTGTGTGTGGTGAGGACTTTTAACATCTCTCTTAGCAACTTTAAATTATACAATACATTGTTAACTATAGTCGCTATGCGGCATACGACATCCCCAGAGTTTACAACAGAAGTCTGTTCTCTTTGACCACCTTCACTCATTCCCCCACCACCCGCCCCTGGCAGCCACCAATCTGCTATTTTTATGAGTTGTTGTTTTTATTATTATTATATCTATATTTAAGTGAGATCATATAATATTTGTCTTTCCCTGTCTGCCATTTCATTTAGCATAATGACCTCAAGGTTCATCAATGTTGTCACAAATGGCAGGATTTCCTTATTTTTATGGCTAACACTCCATTATATATAAAGAAAGAATATAAATATCACAATTTCTTTATCAATTCATTAAAGTAACTTTTTTCTTGAGTGTAAAAGTATTTCCTGTTCATTAAACAGGTAATAATGAACAGGAAATGCTAGGAAGTGCGCACACACACATCTGGAATCTCACAATCCAGAAGAAATCTTTTTTTAATGCTTGTTCTTTTTGCCAAGCACAATTGTATGTGGTTTTTAAAAAATAATTTGCTTTTTTAAAAAATTTTTTTTATTGATTTCAGAAAGGAAGGGAGAGGGAGAAAGAGATAGAAACATCAATGATGAGAGAGAATCATTGATTGGCTGCCTCCTGCACGCCCCACCCTGAGGATCGAGCCCGCAACCTGGGCATATGGCCTGACTGGGAATCGAACTGTGACTGGCTCATAGGTCTATGTTCAACCACTGAGCCATGCCAGCAGGGCTATAATTTGCTTTTTCATTTAGTAATATATTATAAACCTTACCTAAGTCATTAAATATTTTTCATAACATGATTTGAAATTGCTGAATAGTATTCCATTGTATAGAAATTCCTAAATTTAAAATTCATTAATCCTGTAATGCTGAACATGAAGTTGTTTTCCAATGTATTGCTATTTTAAATAAAACGATGAGGAATAGCCTTGTATACAAATCTTTGAACACATTCGAGATTCTGTCATCTAAATGGAACTGTTAGGTAAAAGTGTAGGGACATTTTTAAGGCTCTCAATACACATATCAAACTTCAAAAAAGCACCAATTTACATTTCAACCAATGAGTCATGAAGTGTCAGTTTCCCTCATATTCCTAAGCAACACTGTTTTTATTTTTTCAATGCTGTTAGTCTGCCTGGCCAGTAGCTCAGTGGTTGAGCATCACCTTATGAACCAGGAGGTCACGGTTCAATTCCTTGTCAGGGCACATGCCCGGGTTGCAGGCTTGATCCCCAACTGGGGTGTGCAGGAGGCAGTCGATCAGTGATTCTCTCTCATCATTGATGTTTCTATCTCTCTCTCCCTCTCCCTTCCTCTCTGAAATCAATAAAATATATATTTTTAAAAATACTTTTCTGCCCTAGCTGGTTTGGCTCAGTGGAGAGCATCGGTCTATGGACCAGAGGATCCCGGGTTCAATTCTGGTTAAGGGCAGGTGCTTCAGTTGCAGGCTACTCCCTGGTCGGGGCACGTGCAGGAGGCAACCAATTGATGTGTTTCTCTCACATTGATATTTCTCTCTGTCTTTCCCTCTCTCTTCCAACTCTCTTTAAAAATCAATGGAAAAAATATCCTCAGGTGAGGATAAAAAAAATTTTTTTTCCTTATTTTGTCATTTACCTTTGGTTTCTGGCATTATGAGCATAAAGAAGTTTTTAAGATGTATGCATATTGTATATGAATATGTATATTTCAATATATTCTTTTATGAGTTGTTCCATAAAAGCCACTGTTTTAAATTTGTCCTGTTCAAATGTACCAATTAACTGTAATATAATGCTAAGTTTTGTCCAAACTAGACTTCACATTTGGGTAATAAAAATTCAAATCCATAAATTCGGACGATGTCACATTTCTAGGACAAAATTTAAAATGCGTGCTTAAGGTACTAAGCTATCTTACTTAAGGACCCATCCCTTTAAACTTACGTGCTTTGCTCTGGTGTTGCAAAATCAAGGGTTCATGCTTCATCACCAGCTCAGCATGTTGACTGCAGCCATGTCATTCAGGAAGCCAAATGTTTTCCATTTTGTTTTAATACCTTCAACAGTTAAAGAGGAAGGCCAATCTCTATTCACATCACAATAAATTCAGTATTTTCACGTGCTATTTAAACTCATTACAAGATACACTTATCTTAGGATAAGCTTCATGGTTTCCATTTATCACTACATAACTGAAACAATAACAACATAAAAAGAAGGAATATTTGCATTGCATCTCTATATACTAGACCTCCCACACCTTTTGGAATGAGGCTCTACAATGTCCAATTCTCACTATAATTCTCCCTCATTTTCTACCGGAAACAGATCACAAATCCTAAAAACATAAACCCACAGGGTAAACTGACAGTTACATTTTGTAAAGAGCTGCATATTTCTGTAAATCTCCAGTTTGCTACTTTCCTCAAGCCTCTAAGATGACCAAGAGATTTTTAGAAACAGGAAACAAAAAATAGAATTAGCATTATTTCTGAGAGGTAATTTTACCTAAACGATGGATGACTATATTTTGAAGAATGCTCTATGATAAAGCTGAAAAATTCCAATTTTTAGTACCTCAACAGATTCAGTGCTACAATGACATTTGTGAATCTTGCTTAGTTAAGACATGTCCCCCAGGTTGGATTTTCAAATCCCATGCTTCAAATTCCAATTTTTAGTACCTCAACAGATTCAGTGCTAAGCAGTTTCTTTTTATAAATACTACAATGACATTTGTGAATCTTGCTTAGTTAAGGCATGTCCCCCAGGTTGGATTTTCAAATCCCATGCTTTACAAAAACAGTAGCGATTTGCCACCAGCTACAGGCTCTGAATGTTAGACAACATAAAATAGTTTTTCATAAACTTTCTAATTGACTCCCACCTGAAGGCTGGAAAACCCCACTGAAGGCTTCTTAGACTCAACAGACACGTTAAAAAGCGTTAATTGTAGGATCTCACTGACACAAACATAAGGAAATTCTGAGTTATAGATACTTCACATGAAGCTTTTTCCACTGACACTGTAACTTTTGTCAACATTCAAAGAAAATTCAACCCTGGTCAAAGGTGACAGTTTGACAATCCTGGAAGCGAACATCCTCTGTTTATTTGAACTAGTTTATACTCTCTGCTCAGGGAATTAGAGTTTTTTCTCACCCCCGACTGGATCTTTCAAATTCAAATCACTACACTTTAGGAATGAGGCTCTACAGTGCACAATGTAGAGTCTTGTGAATTATATCTTCAAGATTTAACTTCACAATCCACCTCCAAGGAAAAGAGCTCAGAGAAAATAAGCATCAGATATGAAAAGGAATATGTTTCTTAGACTGGTTTCTAATGACCATTTGCCTAGCCCTAAACACACAGTAATTTGTTCAGCTGCCTTTACCCCCACCCCCAAATTAAAATTCTTAAGTCCTTCTATCTCAGAAATCACAATTAGTGGCTTTAATAAAACAAGATGGGACCATAAATCCCTTCAAAATAAAGCTGTAAAGAAAATGAGCTGGATACTCGAGTCCTCGGCCAACAAACACTTGTGTCACGTGCCACATTGGCACAAGAGCTCCTTTTGTTTGTAAATAAAGGCCAACAAGACAGCTTATAGCACTCCTCCTATGGTGTATACGGTAATGCTAGTGAAAGAACAACACAGGACAACTTACAGTTAAAATTAAGACTCTCTCTGCTTTAATGTAATTTCCACCAGAAATACATACATTAGTTGGAAAAAATGCTGATCATGTTCATAACTTCAAAACATCCCAAATATATTAAATGTTTTTCTATGTAAAAAAAAAAAAAAGAGTCCATTTTTGGAACACAAATAAAAATATATGAGCCTTAAAGAAGCCACTGTCTTACTGCACAGTTGCAGCTGCCCACACTCCTTTGCAGGACAAGGGTTAGGAATGCGCCTCTGAAATCAAAGTGGCCTGGATCTGGATCCAGCGCCGTCATTACTAGCAATGTGACCTTGGGCAAGTTACTTAACTTCTCTGTGGCCATTTCTTCATCTTTTGACTGAGGATAACACCCCCACCCCCCCATCCCCGCTGCCAGAGGATCATGAGTGAAAACATGGCAAGAGCTATAACACTGCTTGGCACCGGAAATGGACAGTGTTCGGTATTATTTTTATTATCTTTGTACTTTTAGGCTTTGGACATAATCTGAGTTACTTTTTAATAAATCTTCTGATCGCTTTTTGAAAGATGGCATAATAATGAGTATATAGATCATGAGTATATCTTCCCAGAGGAGCCCACAGTAAGCAGAGCTATAGCCTAGAGCCGTAAATCATCACTTTTAGTACAAATCATGGATGTGGCTGTTACTGGTAACTTTAGCTTGATTTCCCATATGCCAAAAAAATCCCCTACCAGGGGAAAACAAGCAGTACGTATTAGAAAACCCTTGGGTTTGTCCTGGTAGCATTACAGAGTAAAGCCAAACTCACTTTTACTAGCCTGATGGGCACTGAAGATCTTAGTCACCAAATTAATCCCAACAAATAACAACAACTGACGGGCTCATTGATGTATTTCCCCTTGTCTTCCCCAACCTTTCTCTAACGAGTCAGAAAGGAAAGTTTTTATATTTTCTGAGAATCTTATTACTGCTCTCAAACCATCCTCTGTATCTTAGTATAATTAAAAAATGAGTCAGCACAAGCACTTCAAATACCTCGCAGTGCATAGAATATGGAGATATTTCTCTTCATAATAGAAATCTGGGAAAATAAAAAGAGTGAGAGTGTCAAAGGCAAGGGAAGACTAAGTGGACAGTGAGTGTCGGACCAGATTTTGCAAGCTAGCTTCCAGAAGGTAAATAAATGTTCTTTATCAATCAATATATGTATTTTTCATCTTAATGGTATTATAATACATGGGAATGGATGTAACTATTATGAATAAACTCAAAGAATATCCAGTAGATGACAAATTATAACTTCTCCTTTCTTGAGTAATGGAGGGGAGTAAGGGAGGTTATGATACTCTGTATGTATTAACCATTGTGCATTTGCAAATCACATAATGCATCACTGCACAACATGCTAATGCAGTACTGCCTTTAGCAATGTGATCAAAAGAAAGTGTAGGATAAGCACCCCTAAAGGGCAAACATATTTGAATGCCAATTAAATTAAGAGTCTATTTAGTCATGACACTTCTTAGAATCAAGCCAGCTGAAGGCCCAGAAAAGACCACTTGCTTCAATGTCTGAAACAGTATTATCACATGCTCCTTTCAAGAAGGTACTTCTTCTCAAGGCTCCATGTAACTCACACTCCAACGTACATATAAACAGTAACCTACCACATGGAAATTACTGGGGGGGGGTCAAGGGAGAGTTTACGGCTCAGGGTGGGGATTCCTCCAAAGTTCTACCGCCATCCCCTCAATGTTTCCTTGCTCTTATTTAACTCCTCCATGACATTCTGTATGGCTTTCAGGTGAAGCCAGAAAAAACTGCCATATTCACTGTTTAATACATGGGGCTCTATATTGTATAAAGCAGGGGCAACCTTTCTTTCTTTCTTGAGAGAGAGAGAGAGAGAGAGAGAGAGAAACATCAATGATGAGAATCATTGATCGGCTGCCTCCTGCATGCCCCACACTGGGGATCGAGCCCGAAACCTGGCCATGTGCCCTGACCGGGCATTGAACCGTGACCTCCTGGTTCATGGGTCGATGCTCAACCACTGAGCCACAGCGGCCGGGCTGGGCAACCCTTCTTTAAAAGCTGACATCCAAGGCTCCACAGAACACGATTCAGCTCCATCTAGTGCTGTGCAGTTTCTAGGTACCTGGGAGGAAACAGATGGCCGTAGCCGCCCCCCTCCCGCCCCCCCTACACACACACACACTTTTTTAAAATTGCGTATTTGTTGTTGTTTTTTAAGATTTCTTCCAAGGCTGCTAAATCTTGAAGAAAGCTGGGGAAAGTTTCAGGAATGTCTTGCCTTCCCAATTGGGTATTCGGGCTGAGCTCAGTAAAACTGTCATAAAGCAGCGCAACAGGTCAAAGACAAACCACATGGCATCTGATGCTTGTCTTTGTTTAAAATTGAAATGTGACACCAGAGAAGGTTACTATGTGGACCTAATTTTGAAAATACAAACAGGAAGCACCCCCACCCCAATATTACCATAAAAAAAAAGGAAACCAAACCTCAAAGTTACCTTCCAAGGAAGTCATGGGTGTGACCAAAACTAACAAAAGTAATAAAACGTCATCTAAAACCCTGAAACCACCAAAAGTGAGGGTCTCATTCAACCAACTAAAAATCTAACACCTGAAATTACTCCTCTCTTTGATTAGTGAAAATAGCACAGATCTAGGTATGTACAATCTTCTCCAAACGGCTTAGGTTTTTCAATAGTAAAGAATCATCATTAAGAATTTTTTTAAAATCCCATGTCGATACTCTACTTAAAATAAGGACATGCTAATTAAGAGTGAATACAATTTTTAAAAACTTTTTATCACTGTGATGCTCACAATTTAAATGTACCAAACAAAACCTGTCGAATCAATGGAAAGTAGATTGTTAAATCTGACTTCCTATTCCCAGAAAGAAGCATAAAACTTGTGTTTCTAACACTGCAGGGGGAAAAAACACTTCTTATTTTAGAACAGTTCTATTAACAAAGCTCAGATTTAAAGAAAAGTTTTTTTTTCCTTTAAACACTACACAAAATCGGGGACAGTGATAGTTTCGAACTAACGTCTAAACATTATTTTTATTAAGAAGTTCCCGAGTCAAACTATCTTGATACTCTATTATCTAGTAAAAGGATATTTGCCTGAAGAGTAACCTGGAGTTATCGGATAACTTTTTAAAAGAATACGTTTCCAATGCTCAAAACACGTGAATAAAAATGGGAATAATGTGGTAATCTATATTCTAATAGGAAGGAAAAATGTGTCGCTGGTCATAAGAGCACGCAGAAATTTGTGAGTACTTTATGAATACGTACATGTTTGTAGGGCACTAGAATAGTGAAGCTTTTTTTTTTTTTATTCTACCTTCAACCTGCAACCGAATCTTGAGCATATCATTTACCTACTTATAACATCTTCCTTTTATAAGACTACCTACGTTACCTACTGACACAAAAACAAGTCAAAGGAACCGCCACAAGGACACTCATAAATATAAACCTAACACAAGTCACAAATAACTTGAATGTAACTTCAAAGAATTTTAACATAACTTCAAAAACTGACATAAATACCAAAAGTGCAATAAATGACACCTTGCTGTGTTTTTTGGATACATAAACATTTTTAAAAATCAATTGAGAGCAAGGAAATGAAGATGAAATGAGAAGTTGGGCCACAATAGGAAGTGCTGACCAAAATATTTGTGTTGTAACACTCCAAACAATGATAGCACTGTTTTCCCCTCCCATCACATGTATCATGAAGTACCCATCTAAGAAACACATCCACCTTCAATTTCTTAACACAAAATCCATATCAATATCCTGTTGACAAAAATATGAATCCCGAAAAGGCAAGGCCTGGTGAGAAGGCGGAATAACTTATGTAGCTGGGTATACAGCAATGATTTTGTGCAGAGTTTAGCTCCAAGTTATGCAATAACCAAACTGCTGGTGATAGAAATCAACTTTCTTTTTCCTTCTTTCTGATGTTTTGTGTTTTTAAAGAAAGATCTCTCCATTCCTTTATGTCTCAACCAGGTGCTCAAAATGTTCATCTTCCAAAGGCCACAGAAAACAAGTAATCTGCTAGGTAACACTTACCTGACCAAAGGGGTGGTACTCTTTTAATTCAACAGGACAGACGTCACAAATGGTCACACAGTACATTTTTTCTGCAAATCGGCAGCCCTTTTCCCATTTATGCTATCAATTCTAACAGCTGTACTCTTCCATGAGATGGAAATTGGTACCAAAACAAACAAAAACACCGACGCCTTAAAAGAAACCTTCAAATGTGGAATCCATCGGAAATGCTCAGAACCCATCCAATGTTCAGAGTGTTACAAAATAAAATCAGAAAACACGGAAGGCACGCTAAATACAATATATCGTCTTCTAAAAACGATGAAAGGCACACTAAATAAAATATATCCTTTTCCAATGACTATAAACAAAGGCACAAGAACCGAAGAACGGTGTAGAAAGAGGCGAAGTTCTATTATCTCCATTGAACGACAACGAAATTATTTGAGGTAATATTCTCAACAGCTGAAAGCTTATTATGGCCTCGGCGGCTATCCAACCACTTTGGAAACCTAAGATACAAGCAGACGATAAACACCATTTGAAGACTGAAAAAAAAAATGACATAAGATCAGTTTAATAATTTGATGACACACTAGTCCTTTCAAAGGGCACTCATTCGCCCAAAGCACTCCCGAGACAACTTATGAAATTCTCTGCAGGCCAAGATCGACTCCTTCGCTGTGCTTTGGGACCAGCACTGATCTGCGAGCTCTCCGGCCGACATTTCAGTCCCCGCACGACCTCCCAGCTGTGCGACCTGTGCAGGCCACGCACTCCACCTGCCGGGCCTCAGTTTCCTCTTCTGCACCATCCAAGAACGTGGTGGCATCACCGCCAGGGCCCTCTCCACCTCTGGCCTCCAGTCTCCCGCCCGCTCTGAGCTCTGAGCACGGCTTGTTTATTTCAGCTGTGACAGCATGACAGGGGACCAGACGGAAAAGAACCTGGCGTGGCTCTAGGGAAAGAGAGGACCGCTCTCTCTTTTCGCCTTTAAAATTCTGGTGGTTCTCACTCATCTTATCTTCCTGAGAGCTGGCACCTGTGTGTCTCCCGGGCCATTTCCATCACTGCTGGCTACAAGTGTCTGCAATCGCCTCTTGCTCCACACACGTTCCTTCCTGACCATCTTGCCAGATTCCTCCAGCCTCAGACCAGCTTTGGGGACACACGGCTCCCCTTCCTCCGATTCTCTAGCTACCCCGACCCCAGGTGCACTTTTTTTTTATTTTTTTCCTGGGCTAGGGGAAAAAAAAAAAAAAAAAAAAAAAGAACACGCTGAATCCCCCTGCCTCACGCATGCACGAGCCGGGGCCTGGCTGGTGCATATGTGGGATCCCGCACCCAGAGCCTCATTGACACGTTCGTATTCGCTGCCTCGACTCCTTATAAGGCTCTGCTCCCTGACGCTCCGCTGACCCCCCTGCCCCCGGGCACCTCGGGCTCGCCCACCCACCGTCGCAGACACTGCTTTTGAAAGGAGGAGGAACAGCAGGGGGGCGGCGGGGCTATTCGCAAGTGCACCGTGAAAGTGTGAGTGGCCCCTCGGCTCCCAGGGCTGGGCGCCGGGGACCCTCGCGCCCCCTCCCTGGAAACGGGCGCACACG